GTGCCCTAACTCTTCAAAAAACCGAATAATAGGGAGTATGGTTATATGGGGGCTATCCTCAAATGTGAATCGATGTCCACAATTCTTGGTAGGTAGATTTTTTAACCAATGAAAATTGAAAATACTAAATAATAGCCAATTCTGTTGAAAAACTTACTCATACTCCCAAAAGTACGGAAATTTGGGAGGTACCGTTATGTGGGGGCTATCCCCAAAAGTAAACCAATATAAATAATTTTTGGTAGGGATATTTGCAATCTAATGATAACTCAGAATACTAAATAATTCCGTTAATAAAGGCACAAAAAATCCCAAAAATACCGATTATTCGGGGGGTTGTTATATGCGGTCTATACCAAAACATGGGCCAATATCAATTTTTTTTAATAGGAGATTTGCTACCCAATGGAACTCAAAACACCAAATTTCAGTTCATTCGGTTAATAAACGCACCAAAATTTCCAAAAATGCCGAATATTTGGAGGTATCGTTATATGGGGACTATCTTAAAAAGTGGACCTATATCGATAATTTTTGGTAAGGAGATTTGTTATCCAATAAAAATTCAAAATACTAAATTATAGCCAATTTGGTTAACAAACGTGCCAAAAATCTCCAAAATACCGAATATTTGGGGGTACCTTTATATGGGCATTATCCTAAAAAGTGGACCGATATCGATTATTTTTGGTAAGGGGATTTGCTATCCATTAGGAATACAATATACTAAATTAAAGCCAATTCGGTTGAAAAAACGTGCCAAAATCTCCAAAGTACCGAATATTGGCGGTACCGTTATATGGGGGCTATACCAAAACGTGGACCAATATCAATTATTTTTGATCAGGAGATTTGCTACCCAATGAAAACTTAAGATATCAAATTTCAGTTCATTCGATTAAACGCAACAAAATTCTCCAAAATACCGAATATTTGGTTATATGGGGACTATCATAAAAAGTGGACTGATGTTATCCAATGAGAATTTAAAATACTAAATAGGAACAATGTAAGTGTTGCGAGCTTTACAGTGATTTCAAGGGACGGACGGACAGACAGACGGGAATGCATAAATCTACATAGAATTTTACTCTATGGGGTCTCCGGTGAATATGTTGCAAATGACATATTTAATATACACTCCACCCTATAGCGAAGGGTATAAAAATATGTATTTATTATAAAAATAATTTTTAAAATTAAATTTAAGATTTTGAAGAAAAAATCGGCGTTATCCGGACCAATAGAAATTGTTTTCGATTTTCCCACTATAAATTTGAAAGGTTTTATCACTTGTTGAGTTGAGGGAACAATTATTAACATTTTTTAAAACGTGATCAAATAAAAACATTGCTTTATGTGAAATCATTTCACATGTGTTTACGTACAGATATGAACACTGTTCTAATGCCCCTTTTATATCTCCCATGTGTTTGTTGTGTTGTGTGCGGCGTGTTTTACCACAACACATCATGCCGCCACCGTTCGTTTTTGTTGTTCATAACAACCATCTACTTACTTGTATTTATTTGTTAAATTATGCAGTTTACATTGTATCTCAACAGCTGTAAAATTAAATCCCTCGCTTGCCATTTCTTTGGCAAATTCCTCATAGACATCACCGGTTCGTCGATTGCCGCGTAATATATCCACATTGTGATACCATAGTTGAATTAAATATTCTTCAGAGTAATCATTCCAGCGTTTTCTTCGTCGGCTGACCAAAAGAGTAATACAACAAATTTTTTTTATACTACATATAGGCATTTCATTTAATATATATATTTTTTTGGATATAACTTACATATCTCTTTCATCTGACTGGGGACTATGTTCAAAACTATTTGAATGTTTGGTGGTATCGGATGTACCGGTCACAGAACGTCGTGCTCTTTTCATTGTTAATTATTTGATTTTTATTTGTCGAAATATGAAGTGGATGTGAACGCTAGACAAAGTAATTTGTTTATGTTTAAGTTGCGTTATAGGGTTCTATAGATTGAGTTTTGTTTTTGGCAAATGGCGTAATGTAACTTGTTTAGGAATGAAACAAAACGTGTCTTTACTTTAATAGACCATGTGAATGTGTTTTTAAGGTGCTGTTGTTCATTTTATTTTATGTTGAATAAATTAAAACGGGGTTTCAAACAACTACTCTATCCAGTATACCATTAAGTATTGAGCGAATGTAAACGCAAACCAAGTAATTTGTTTATTTTCTTTATAGGTATATGTAGATCGACTTTTGGTCTTTTCTATTGAGATAAGAAAATCGATAGTCGGCAATGATATTTTTTGTTGAGGCTTATCGATTTATAACACAGAGAGCATAAATGAATGAAAATAAATATTTTTTAAATTAATATATTAATAAAATGTAAATAAAGTGTATTATTTAAACAATATAAGTATAGCGGTTGCTTATACAGACTTTAAAACAGGGATTTGAAAAAATTATGGTGTGACGAATCGAAAAAAACTCCAAAGAAAATACAACTCTATGTGGTATTATTAGGAATAAAAATTGATGTCGGCAATTTTGGATTAAAATCCCCCAAGCTGCAAAATTTTTTGTTTGAGTTCACACTTTTGACTTCATAGAGTGTAAACGCAAAGAATTTTGACAGCTCAGGTGAAATCATCTGGCCTTATGGGACGACCATGTTATTGGGCTAGGGATAACAATTTTTTCCCTTATGATATGGAACAAAATATTAAAAAAAATTCTTGCAGTACGGGGGGAACAGACCAAAAATAAATTAATTCGAGGGGAACATTGAAATAGGCTAAAGGTAAATATACGCCTTTTGCGTTAACAATTTTCATTTATGATATCGAATTTTGGAATAATAAATTTATTAGGATTTTTAGATTAGTTGTACATTAAGATTTTTATACTAGAATTTCATAGTCAAAATATTTTTCAAAATTATTTTTGTAATATCATGCGACCGGACTATCCGATTCGCTATGCCTATATTATAATAGAAGATGGGATTTATCGATCTATCGTTCAGGTCATGGAAGGTCGCAATATTTGAGATAGAGCTTTGAAATTTTGCACAAACATTGTTATTACTCCTAAATATTCGATATTTTAAAAATGTTTGGCTGATTTTTAACCGAATTGACTCAGATTTGGAATTTTGATTGGGTATCAAATCTTCACGATGAAATTCTTCAAAATTGGACCTCATTTTGCAATAGCCTCCATAAAACGATTTTTTTGGATATCTCGCCATATAACGGTGTTCCCCATTTTTCGATATTTTTGAGTTTTTTTTTTTAACGGAGTTTTGTTCATGGTCCAATTAATAGCTCGTGTAAGAGGCGAATATTACGCGCCATTTTGGTATGAAATCCCTTAAACTGTAAATTTTTTTGTTTACGTTTTCACACGATTAAGGCAAATTTTGTAATCATGGTCCAATTAATAGCTCGTGTAAGAGGCGAATATTACGGGCCATTTTGGTATAAAATCCCTTAAACTGTAAAATTTTTTGTTTACGTTTTCACACGATTAAGGCAAATTTTGACAGTTCGGATGAAATTATTTCGCCTCTTACACGACCTGATAATTGGACCATGGTTGTAATTTGATTCTCATTTTGTGTCAAAAAATTCTATCGAAAATCTACGAAGTTCCTTAACGATTATTGATATTTTCTGGTGTTCACCTCATGGTGGAGGATATAGAATGTTCAGCCCGGCCGAACTTAACTACTTGTTTTTAGTAAACTTTACCTTGTCAGCCAAACAAATTTTATTTGTTGCAATAAAAGAAATACCACAATAAATTATTAACATTTATAGCATTTAAATACATATTTTTTATTATTTAGATTCTTAAATTCTAAATTCTTTGTCTGATCTTTTAACATTATACACATCATCTTTCCATCATAATATTTGTTGTTGTTTTTTTCGTTTATAACATTTATTGAATAATTCATTTTTGTTTTGTATGTTGAAAGTTGGTAATACTAGTACAGTTCAAAAACTGTGTTTGTTATTAGTGTGTGTGTTTTTTTTTTGTTTTGCTAATCATTGTTTTTGAAAAATGGAATAAATATTTTGTTTTTATTTTTTTATATTTATATAAAAAAAGCTCATAATATTGATAAAAGAAAATAATAAAAAAACAATGGATTGAAAGTTGTAGAGGAAATGCCCTTTTAAAAACCCCTATCAAAATAAGAGGATAGAAAATGAAATTAAAAAAAAAATATATATGTTTTTTGTTTTGGTATTTTTGTTGTTGTTGTTAAAGGTACCAGAGTGTTTTTTAATATATTGTGGTTTAAAATAAGAAACAAAATTAGGAGAATATTGAAGGGAATGTAAGCTTCATTATAAATACCATGTATGTTAGTATTGTGTGCACCACTTGTGGGGGAGGGGGAGGAAGTTTTGACATAAATATTTTAAATTTTTTTCAATGTAGCAGCAGCGCCATTTACTAGCTAGAACAACAGTGTAGCATTAAAAAAATAAAAACAAATTTAAAATATTTTTACAATTTATTTGCACCAAAAAGAAAATGTTTGTATTATTTATAATTTCGTTAAAGGTTTTATGGTTAAATATGAAAATAAAATCCACCAACAATTTAATAAAAAATTATATATTATTAAAGTTATTGTAATAATAAAAGGTAAACACCTTAATTCAGAAATGTTTAAACAATTTATTCGTTTGCCAGATTAAAAAGACCGAATACTTCCTTTATCTTCGTTTCTTTTAAACATTTCCTCGTTTGGTATTATTTGTAGCGTACCACATTATTTTTGTTTAGAAAAAAAAATGTATATATAATTTTCCATATTATGTGTTTTTTTGTGTTTCAATTACAATTAGGAAATCTACAAACTACTAAAAAATATTGAAAATACACTCGTCCCTGGGTACGAGATCGTTTTTTGTTTTGTTGTTTTGTTTTCAGTTTAGTTTACAAATATATAATTTTGTATTATTTTTCTATTTTGTATTTTTGTTGTTGTCATATGTTGTTGTTGATAATTGATAACGACGACGACTTGATTTGTTTCAAAATAATTATCCTTATTTCGGATGTTGTCGTTCGTATTCTTCAATATCGGCAATATTAATGAGATCAAATTCTACCACACCCTTACCCGAATATTCGGCAAATTTGCCATTCGATGAGATTGGTTTTGCCTCACGTTTGAAAACTAGAAGAGAAGAGGAAGAAAAAATCAATTATTAAAAGTGAGAGAAGGGTTATATTTAGGAGTGTGTGCTACAAATGGAATCGTGGTAATTTTAGGTCGAAAATCTTCACCCTAAAAAGTGGGTCAATACTGATAATTTTTCGTGGAAAGATTTGCTACCCAATGAGAACTCAAAATACCAAATTACTGCCAATTCGGTTAAAAAACGATCCCAAACTCCCCAAAATATGGCATTAGGGACGTACTATAATATGGAGACTATCCAAAAAAGTGAACCGATATCGATAAATTTTGGTGGAAACATTTCCTACCCAATGGGAACTCAAAGTAACAAATTTCAACCAATAGAGCCAACTCGGCTGAAAAACTTACTCGAAATCTTAAAACTACCGAATATTTGAGGGTATCGTTATATGGGGGCTATCCTAAAAAGTGGACCAATATCGATAAATTTTGGTGGAAACATTTCCTACCCAATGGGAACTCAAAGTACCAAATTTCAACCAATTCTGTTAAAAAACGTGCCCAAACTCCCTAAAATATCGATTACTTTGGGGAATTCTTATATGGGGGCTATCCTCAAAAGTAAACCAACATGCATAATTTTATGCAGAGGGATTTTCAATCCAATGAGAATTCAAGATACAAAATTTTACCCAATTTTGTTGAAAAACGTTACAAAATCCCGAATATTTGGGGGTACCGTTATGATGATGATTTGTGATGATTTTTTGTGGAAAGATTTACTATCAAATGAGAACCTTAAATACAAAATTACAGTCAATTCGGTTAAAAAATGCGACAAAAATACCGAATAATGTGGAGCACCGCTATATGGAGGCTATCCTAAAAAGTGGACCGATATCGATAATTTTTGGTGGAAAGATTTGCTACCCAATGGCAACTCAAAATACCAAATTACAGCCAATTCGGTTAAAAACATTAGGATTTTTTAAAGAAAATTTGAAAGTGATTTCCAAGCCTTGGATTAGTCCCTAAAAATTTACTTTTAAAAAATCCACGCCTTGGACTAGTCCCTAAAAATTATATGTGTTTTATTTCCATTTCCTTTTGAAAACACGAAATGTATAAACCTGATCCTTGTTTAATTGAAAATCGCTTCGATTTATATCACACACATCCTAAAATAAAAATTCACAAAATATATATCAAAAAATCACATTCGATCAACACTTACCACCCGAAACATAATTCTCCAACATATACACCTTCATGTCATAGCATTCATTGGCAATTCGTTCCGATATTAATGTCAAATCTGTTATGGGTGGGATGACCACTCTCATATTGCGACGAACACGATCTGTATCGATATTATAATATCCCGAACCCATTTTCTCCATTAAATCGATGAAACTCTTTGGCGGTAAGGTGGTATTACGATCCAATGGCATGATGAAACAACGTTTGGCGGTGGCATCAATGATGGCCGATTGATTCTCCTTGAAATCATGCATAAAACGTCCGTGACGACCATCTTTAAAATCGGGTACATTAATTTTCGTATAACTCTCATCGTCACTCATATCGATTTCGATTTCTTCACGGAAGAAGTTACTATCGTCCAGTGGGACAATACGATTACCGCTCAAATGGGGCAGAAGCCAATTTAAATTTAAATCCATATCATCGGATTGTTGATAGAAACGTGGTGCAAATAACTTATCGCTGTTCGCAGCTTCGTAGGGAACATCGCAAAGGGTGCGATAATGGTATTTTGTTGCATTATCGGGATTACCAAACGAACGATAAATAATATAACCGCCAAAGATGCCCAATAGAATTGTTACCAATATTAGCAGGACGGTTAGGCCATTCTTAATGCAGCTGAATGCTGTGTTTGGATGTTGATTATAGTTTACGGATTCAACATCACTGGCGCCTTGTGGAATATATGCTTGTTTCTGCAAACAAAAAAAAGGAAGAAAGAAAAATATTTGAATTAAATAATTCTCGAAAAGGTTCAAAATGTATAGAAATTTAGTCTGCCTTAAAGAGTCCATTGCTACTAATCATAAGATTTACTTCAGATACTTTAATGGATCCAGACAAGTTTTGCTGGAACTGAATTATATAATATAACGAAAAGAGCACCAGATTCAAAGCAAACTTTGCACAACTTATTATTTTAATCATGCCTCTATATTGGGACTTATAAGTCCGTTCCTTCTAGTACCTCCCCCATAAGGGGTTATCCAAACTGTGCTAATCGTAATATTTTTACCTACCCTAGATCGAATTCAAAAATGGGACCCATCGATCCACTCTTTCTGGCAACTCCCACAAATCTTTGTAGTATAGACCAAATCGTTCCAGATACAATATCAATATGGGACTTAAAGGACAGTTCATTATCAATTTCCACACCCAAATATCTGTGGTGAGTAACAAATTCTAAAGTGTCATTTAGTAAGGTAATATTTAACGAAGGATAGGTGTTCCTGAAATTTCCGAATATCATGGCTTTAGTATTGGAAGTATTGATGGTAATAAAGTTAGTGGATGCCCAAAATGAAAAACATTGGAGAGACATATTGTCGCATGACTTTCGAACAACAATGGAAATTCGCTGGGACCACTAAAAAAAATAAGAAAATGTCATCAGAGAACTGAAAGGTCTCACATAATTCCGAGCTGGTGTAGTTTCTAAGTCATTTACATATAGGATGAATACAAGTGGCCCTAATACACTGCCCTGCGGTATGCCACTGTGAAGCGTAATAGTACTAGACTCATAACCGTTTACAGACACAAACTGCGATCTGCCACAAGGGTATAAATAAAAAAGCTTGCAAGCCGTCAATGAAAACTTGAATTGATTAGAGAGGTTTTCAATCATAGGGACATGATTAATAGAATTAAAGGTTAAAGTAAGTTTGTGGTGCTATGCCCGCGGCGAAATGTAAATTGGGTATCACATATCAGTCTAGATGTATATTCCAAAATCTGGTCTTTCATTTTTATTTCCACAATTTTAGATACGGCTAGGAGCATTGAAATCGGACGAAGATCGATCATCAGGGCATGCAACATTCTGTGCTTTTCAAATTGGGACAATTCGAGCTTTTTTCCAAAACAGAGAGGATTTGGAACTCATAAGGACATAATTCACAATATGCAACAAAATATCCGAAATGTTGGAATAGATAAGTTTTATAAAATCGATATGTATTTTGTCAACTCCCACAGACCTAGCCTCAAAAACTCTCTTTTATCATCAGAAGCCATAGTAGAGTAGAGAGAATTGTGAACCCACATCTTATTAATTCGAAAAATTTATCAGCCCTGCTTTTTTTGAAAATTTGTTAAAACTCCCATAGAGTTTTTTTTTATAAAATTCAAATACTCACTGATTCTAAAATGCAAAAATATTCGAATATTTGTTTACATTTGCCAATGTTTATTAACTGTATTTAATAAACCTATTTTCTGTATTTATTTTGCGGTCCTATTCTTATTTTTGTTTTATTTTATCGAAATGTGATTCATACCATATTTTTATTGTACTGTGTATCGCGGGGGTAAGCACAGCGACCAGAATATTCTTTTGTTGTGGAATTTGATCTGCAATTGTATTGAATTAACACACCAAGACATACTATCGGGGAAAAAACGTAAATAGAATTTAATACACAGTTCGAGCTGCATTATTTCATTTCATTTTCCAGCCATAGTAGAGCTGGGTGTTGTTATTGTAGATCGACATATATATTGAATACAGAAAATGTGAATTTTTTTTTACGATGTAATTATTAGGTGACATGGCATTACTACTTAAATATGTCATGGTATGAGAAGCATAACTGACTTTTGGGTATTTGAATTACTTCGTTATTATCAGAATGCAATTTTTTAAAATGTTTGGGTACAGATTCTATACTGATAAGCAGAGCTCATCTTCAATCTATAATATTTTTTGGGACTCAGGTTGATTAGGACTCAGGGGACTAAGTTTAGTCTTTCCACTAGAAACATATGGCCATTATGAATATATCGGCTATTTCCGGGTTTCTTATATTGCTCGAGAAACAAAGGTACATTCTGACCAGTGTATATGACATTTATTTTTGTTTTTTTTTTCTCCCAATAAAAAGATAACACATTTTTTGTTTACTTTTGTATTATCTGAATATTTTTATTACTCTTGCTATCGGTCAACAACAAAAAAATCGATTTTATTGTCATTATATTAATAGGCGGATACTTCGCATAATTTCTTGTTTCTTTTCATAGAGAGCATTGTTTACAATCAAAAATAAATATTTTTGTTGTAACTGCTACTTCAATTTTCGATTAATGCAGTTCTAGGGGAAGGCAATAACCTCAAAGAAAATTTTCTAAAATTAGGTCAAAAGGGACTGGATAAACTCTGTCGAAATGATAGGCAATGGACTTACAAAACAGTATTTAAATGTTCTCTTCCTGGTTGTGAATCGCTGTTTATAGAATTGTGTTTTGGAAATACTAAGCTTCTTTACTTACCAGCAGGTAATATATATGATTTCGAAAGCCATCACATAAATCTATTTTCTGACTACCCACACATTGTAATTTTGGGCGATTTTAATTTCAATTTATTTGATGGGTCTCAAGCTAGTCATTTTCCATCCCTTTGCACTAGGTATAACATGTCTATTGTCCACAACTCTAAACCGATGTACTTTGATTTGGCTAAAAGATCGACTTCTCTAATAGACTATATGTTGGTAAGTGTAGTTTCTCTTGTAAATCATCACGATCAGGTCCAATGTCCGTCCGTATCAGATCACGCTCTCATATTTGCGACATGTTGTTTCAACTATAATCAGGCATCAGAATTTATGGAATACCGGGACTATAACAATTTAAATTGAGAACGTGTTTTCTTCTTCTTGAATGATTTTGACATGAATGTCTTATTGGGCGAGTCTGATATTAATTTAAAATATTCCTATATAAATATTTTACTTCAAAAGTTATATTCTTGTGTACCCGTTGTAAGGAAGTTAATTAAATCACGGGTGGTTGATTGGATTGAGGCCAGGGAAGTTGTCTTTGCGAGATCACTTAGGGATCTAGCTTTCCAAACTGTGGCAGAAATTGGTTGGTAAACCTATTGTAAATATCGAAACAGGGCCAGAACTGTTATTTAGCCTTACGAATAACAGTTCTGGCCCTGTTTCGAAACACTATGCAACTCTATTTGGCAAGATGAATGCGTCAGGCATTTGGAAGTTATTGAAAAATTCGGGATGCATCAAATGTGACAGTGCTGATTTTAATATTGATGTAAACGATATTGATAATGCTTTCGTTAGTTGCGATTCGGGGTCTGAAGAGGAAATTGACTTTAGCCGACATATTGACTCTAACTCTTGTTTTTATTTTCAGTCTTTTAAAAAATGTTTTAGTTTTTGAAGCTCTAAATCAAGTAAAGTGTAGGTCTGTGGGAGGTGACGAAATACCTATCGATTTTATAAAATTTATCTATTCCTACATTTCGGATATTTTGTTGCATATTGTGGATTATGTCCTTATGAGTTCCACATTCCCTCAGTTTTGGGGGAAAAGCTCGAATTGTCCCAATTCCAAAAACAAAGACATAATACCCTGTAGCACAGTGTGGTGAAGGGTATAAACACAAAATGTTATATGCCCTGATGATCTTCGCCCGATTTCGATACTTCTAACCGTAACTAAAATTGTGGAAATAATAATGAAAGACCTGATTTTGGAATATACATCTAGATTGATATGTGATAACCAAATTGCATTTCGCCGCGGACATAGCACCACACACTTACTTCTAAAAGCAACTGATTGTATACGTAAGAAACCAATGATGGCGAACTGAGTGTTCTTATATCTCTCGATCTACCAAAGGCCTTTAATTCTATTAATCATGTCCATATCATAAAAAAAAACTCTCTAATCAATTCAATTTTTCATCGACGGATTGCAAGCTTATATATTCATACCTTTGTGGCAAATCGCAGTTTGCGTCTGTAAACGGTTGTGAGTCTGGTACTAATACGCTTCACAGTGGCATACCGCAGGGCAGTGTATTAGGGTCACTTTTATTCGTCATATATGTAAATGACTTAGAAAACTACAGCAGCTCGGAATTGTATGAGACCTTTCAGTTCGCTGATGACATTTTTTTTACTTTTTAGTGGACCAAGCGAATTTCCATACCATCAATACTTCCAAAGCTGAAGCCATGATATTCGGAAATTTCAGGAACACCTATCCTTCGTTAAATATTACCCTGCTGAATGATACATTAGAATTTGTTACTCACCACAGATGTTTGGGTGTGGAAATTGATAATGAACTATCCTTTAAGTCCCATATCGATATTGTATTTGGAAAGATTTGGTCTACACTATGGAGCATATATGCAACAAATATGTATATTCCTCGTTTTATCAGACAACGGTTGTATGGAACTAGTGGTGTTCAACTTGTTCGTTAGCGCAGAATTGTGAATTCTGTTGTACGTTTTATTTATAATGTCCGAAGAAGAAACCCCATTTTCCAAAGCGCTTTAATCAACTCTGTCTAACTAGAAGCATATACGGACGGAATGCTGCTACTATGAGGACATTAGAGATTTAGTAACTATAGGTTTATCGAATGGAGGGACGGAGTGGGATTTATGTAGGGTTCTTGAAGACGATCGGAAATTTAGATGTTTGCTCGTGAATCATTTAGGAGAAGGACAGCACTTAATGGATGTGATCCTCGGGCGTAACCCCCTTACAGGTGGTCTCGGCCGTTTGCATAGAGTGGTGGTGGGTGTCAATGCGGTAATTGACGAGGCCGATGGCTGTTGCGTCTTTGGCTTTTCATGGTTTCACTTGTTTCCACGAGGTTCATGCCTTATGTCAGGGGTAGTCAACCTTTTTTACTTACCGCCCACTTT